GTTCTTCAAGTAAGGTTTAGGAATGTTCGACAGATTTGGCACGGATATTAGCCTGCTTCCTGAACTGACACTAAGATGTGAGGCACAGACTTCCTCAGAGGCCGGAAAACGAACAAGCTTTATCAAGCTTCAGGAATACGCGTGGATGGGGAGTCACAGTTATATATATAGTTCGTCAAACTCTTGTGAAGAAAAGTATAGCAACAGAATTCGCTATCGCGATTGTAGAAAAGCAAGATCAGCATGGCTTCATTAGATTCGATTCATGCTGACCATCTTCTCCGGCTCAAACTCGGCTTGAAAGAGGGACACGTTGCCGCCATGGCAAACCCTCCAGATGCAGTGCATTTCCGTATGCCCGGAGTACCTGAACTGGATGCAAGCCGCTTGGTCATCCTGGGCATGGCTGGACATAATATCGAGGATAGGCAAGCTATATATAGAGACGATGGCCTCCAACCTAATATATAACTTATTGCTACTAGTAGCTTCTTGTTACTAACAACCGCAAAGTTTCTGGTCGGCTTTCCAAAGTTTCTGAGGTATTGAACTTGAGCATCGCCCACGTCGTCCAAGTGTGCAGATAATTTCAAGTCCAGGCTTGACCCATATTGTCTAACTCAGTTGATCTCAGTTGTAGCCTGCCTTGCTGGAAATGGACAACTGCCTAGTGCGAGCACGAATGACATGTTCATATTCGGCCAGGACAAACAGTATCTGAGCACTTCAAGCGCCTGTTGGACCAACTGCTGGAGCAACATATCAAAGAGCTTGCAGAAAGAGGTTCACCAGAGATCGGAGAATCGCCGTTGCTTGAGGCGGGCCGTAAAGGATTTGATTTGCAGGCAGAGAACATTTCAAGCTTGCCTCAGGCTGAGAAAGATCAGGGTGGCACAGTTTTGAGCTTTCTGAAGGAACAAAGAAGCAGGCACAAGCGAAAGAAGCACAAAAGGGGAGATGTGGTTAACTTCAGCGACGGCTCACCAATGGTTTGTAGCTTGTAGATGTTTACAGGACATTTGACGAAAGTCTTGTTGAACTGTCAAAGTTTATCAAACACGTGACATCATGTAACATCTAAAAAGTAGACACGCAATCACACACGTTTGTTCTTGTGTCTCAGGCCACGGATTTTGCTCAAAGAACACATCTGGGGCGGGTGGCCGGTAGTAGTCAATTAGTCCAAGAACACCTGGATCTATAAGGCCTCAGGTCAGACCTAGAGTGCCTGAGAGATTGTCTTTCAATTGGACTGACACACTTTTGGTGTTCCACCTGAAGCTCCTGTTCGAGAGGACGACATGCTCCATCTCTAACTCGGTGATGTGTCAGCGCAACCGTCAACTTCGTGAAGTTGAAGCGAGCGAGGCAACAGATAACTTGGGCGGTGGATGCACTTGAAGGAGCAAAATGGAGCAAATATGAGCACGATCACTACAAATCAAATATATAATAGAATGTTGATGAATGCCTCTCGTTTTCCCAGAATGCAGTTGAGCAGGCACAGTCCCAGGCATAGTCGAGCTTGTGTTGAAGCGATGTCCGTTCATCATACTGTACTGTAGCGGAAGACCTCGTTGGCAAGATTTGGAAAGCAATCTGTTCTGAAATGGTATTACATATGTCTTCTTAAAGCAATCTGTTCTGAAATGATACAATTATACTGTGTTTATTTATATGTTTGCTTGTCAAAACTTAGTAGGTAGCAATGATGATTACAGTAGAGATTAGAAAGGCGCGCTTTCGCACCGCTTGCTGGAATTGCCGACGTGGAAACCAAAAGATTGAAGAGAGGAGCTGACTCGGTTGCCCTACAAATAGCAACGTATTTTGCAATACTCTGAGACTGCAGATTTTCACGTGGTTGTTTCCTAGTCAGTGCTTCCAACAGAGCTGAATCGCACTTTTGCTGATTCGTTTGGCTGCTTTGACAGGTTCTGGATGCTTTGCAGTCGGAAAGGTCCAACACCGAAGACCTGGAAAGCAAGTTCAAAACCACTGCGTCTTGGCAGAGGTCAAACAGCTTCAAAACTCATTAGTCAACCAATGCTGAGTGGTTCATTCCCACTGGCGGAGGATCAAATTGTGGCCAACGTGCTGGCCCAGAGCGATACCAAGTTTGACACACAACTTTTGGAGGAGCGTGCTACAAATTCCAGCATTGGATTCGTGAAAACCAAACCCAGATTGATCAGGTTCGGTACGAGATATATATAATGAGATATATAGCCGTGGGCATTCTGATAGGAGAGGTTTCACAATGAGGGAGGGAGAAGATGCATAGGCCAGAGCCCGAAACAATACATGATTGCAAGATGATGGAACACATGGGGGGAACCATGATATGAGATCAGGGCCGTCAAACGGTTTTGGCCACAGTGTTGCGATGTTTTGCGTGTGGATACAGCGGAGGAAGAAGACAAATAGGAGGGCAGTGTTGAGACGCTTCCTGCAGTGCTTGCTCAGAAGCTTTGCACTTCCCCAAGCGAACACAATGTTGTTCAATCACCTGGTTGCCGAGCGCTCTCCCACTATAGGCAAAGGTAGACAAGTAGACAAGTAAAGGCCGAGCTTCCGAGAGGCTTGTTCTTCCTCAAACCCCAGACTCACGCCCCTCAGTGCGAGATTTTGACAGGACACAACGTGGGCTGGGCGTATCCGAAGGTTCTTAAAGTCCAACCGATACGAGGCACGCTTGGAATTTGTGCATTTAATCAAGAAGCTACTAGTAACAAGTGCATCGCTTCTAGTAACAAGTGCCTTACTAGTAGTAACAAGAAGCGAACGTAGAAACAATATAGACTTTCTCAGAATACATTGGACTCTTGGACCCTCCAAACAAAGTCAAATCAGACAAAAGCCCATTGTGCCATTGTCCACGTCCCCATCGCTTGCCTGCGGCGTTATACCTGGTGTTTGAGCTTGTGTCAGTTCGTCATTGCAACGATTATGACGCTCAATGTGTTGTGGATGGCATTGGAGTTGCGCCTGGGACCAAAAGGACTGACTGTTTGTTTGGGGCTGTCAAGTTGGAAACCAAGTCCTGACACATCAAGTGGTCGCCGTACTTCTGCAAGGAAAACTGATGGCTCACAAGCCTGGGATATGTTTGAATATGTTTGATATTTGGGCAGGTTCACTGCTTCAAGTACCTTCTTCGCCAAACCCCAGACTCTTTTTGCATCGAAAATCACAGGATGCTCAGACGTGTGCCTGACTTACGGAAGGCACTCTTCTAAGGCACTTTGAAGGACACTCTTGTCGGACACTCTTGTGGGATCTTGTGGGTAACTTTTGCGTGTCGAGTCTTCAAAACGATTATTTCGTTCGTGATGTGTCCAAACATCCCTGTTGTTGAAGTTGCCTCGGCCGAATTTGCCACTCATGGTGTTTTGGCAGGAGGAGCGTTTTGTATAGACTCATTGCAATTTTCAGCATAATCCTTTGACCTATCACTAAAAGAATCACAATCACCTATATATAATATTGGCTGATGAGGTGGGGTTGTGATTCTGTTCGTAACCAAGGCATTTTTCAAACATATGCAAAAAGGTCCTCAGCTCCGCTCCTGATTGGGGGGTTGATTATGTAGAGCGAGATTCTGTTGCTGTGCTTGTATGTGTCAATTTTCTTATGATGACCTTGGTTTTGCTTAAAGTCAGGGTGCAGCAGAAACAAAACAAGAACCATAAATTACATCTTCAGGATCTGGAATATTCTTGAATATGTCTGAAACACTTTCCACACTGAAACATTGAAACAATGTGCTGTGAAGCTTGGCACGGGCACGGTTGCATGATGTGCGTGCTCCGATGAGACTTCCTGCTTTACTTGATGTTACTTGTGGAGGAAGTCTCGAACGAAAAGCTCGTTTTGGAGGTTTGACTTACGTGACCTTTTGGAGGAAGTTTGGACGGACATGCTCGTTTTGGAGAATTCTCAGTTTGACTGTTGCTGGTTCTCGGCTTTGGGGTCATGATATGTGACTTTTGTAGGAAGTCTTGTTTTTTGTCGGAGACGTGTGCCAGGCTGGGTATCTAGTTTTGTTCTGATCTCTGAGTCTGAGGTAGTCATCTCAATCTGCAAAATCAAATCTGCACATTATATAATGCAAAGTTGTGTTTACAAAATCACAACCCAATTGCCAAAAGCTCGATAAAATGGACTCTCAGGATCTCTCAGGTCTTCGAGCGAAACGATGCGATGATAAGGAGTTTCCATCGGGCAGCCCTGCCACACACCTCCCCAGACGTCCATAGATAGCCTGTTGAGATGCCAATCCCAATAGCACAGTATCTTCAACCAACATCGCAGCCTCACAGTGACGATTCCCTGTGCCTGCCACGACAAATGTTTTCTAACATGTCCAGCACGCGCCAAGTACTGCGCTTGCCACAAGAAGTGACGCCACACCTTGACATGTCTAGCCAATGTGCGGGTTTGACCCTTCGCCACTTCACCCACACCAATGAGACCAATTCCTTCTTTTTTGAGGCTTGTCAAGAAAACACTGTTTCGAAGCAAACGCTTCAAGAGCCCCTCATGGCACGGCAACATCCAACACCCCCAAAAGACCACGGGAATGCCAATTCGGAACAAAGACGCACACGAAGGCCGGCATTTGTTCAGCATCATATGTCACACTTGGACAATCAAGTGTCCACGCTATTTCACGCGAAACTGACAGGTCATGTTTCCATCCAATACCTCCTGAAAAAAGAGCAAACATTGCCAATGGGAGGGCCATAGAGAAATCATCCACGACGGCGTCGGGTGTGAACACCAAAAGCAGGGTCACACAAACACATCTCTACCCCCAGACCCCCAAAGTTAAAGGAGAGCCTTTTGCATCCTTTTGCTGGGCATTCGGGAAAATGAGGCTGAGCACACTTTCCAGGACCACCATATGTGTTTCAAGAGGAATGATCAAAGAAGAAGTATTGTGAGGGTATCGTATGTCTCCCAGTCTAGTCCAAGTGCTAGATCCAGCATGACCGTGCATGACCCAGTTCAGACTCAGGCAGGTCTACGGATACTTCGATGCGTATGACTCTGGGCTCGTGAGCAACTTCATTGTACCACCTGAGGAGCGTTCGCTCTGCGATACGCACCTGAGCTGAATCGATACGTTGTGTGCGTGGGCGTTTGTGCCTGCATGTTTGGGGTTGCCTGCATGTTTGGGGGTGTTGAAATTTTGGAAGTTACTGGTTGATTGTGTTGACTCAACTTGTATAGGCACCGTTGTTAGAAGATTAAACCAGCAAAAATCAATCCATTTCAGGTTGCTCCTCGCTGGAGATTTGCTGTTCGCTGCCCTTTTCGTTATTGACGTCAGCCTTCGCATGGTGTTCTTGAAGTTCCAGTTTTGGAAGCATTGGATAAACTACTTGGACTTGATCGTCACCATCCTCTCCGTTTGCGAGGTTGTCATAGCATTGCTGCCGATTGACGCCTTTTTCTTCCGTTTGGTTCGATTTGGAAAGCTTTTCAGGACAGATTTTGTGGGACCCTGGGATTGTTGAGCAGCAGCCAAAACTTCCCATGCAACAACTTGAAGAGGTCATGTAAGATGCCTTCGGGAAAGGTAAACACGCAGTCGCGAAAGATTTCGCGATTTTTTCAGCGTGAAAACTTTTGGACAGCTCGCAAAAACTTGGAAAATCAGTTCTGTCCACGAAAGCTTGCGAAAGTGTTTTTGCACAGAGTGCAGCGCACAAAAGCCCAAAATCAGGCGCCGCGGAAGTGCGGTGAAAAGAACTTGCGAAAGAAGAGCCCATTAGAACCAAATCTCGATAGGTTTTGTGCAACGCTCAGTGGTCAATACCATCAATCGATACTCAACGCTCCACGGACATTGTCATGTAAATGTCATCTGACCCGACGTTTTGGACACTGTCAATCAAACTATATTTGCATGCTATATCTGTGTGAGGAACGCTTTGGATGTCTTCAATGCTTGTGATTATGTTTCCATATTATATAGCAAGCAAAAATACATGTATAGGACGACGCTCCTCATTTCTGTAAATAACTGTGAGCCAGTCGAAAGGTCAAGTCAGTCATGATCACTGTCAATGCTTTATCTCGCACCACATTTCAGCTGTTGGTTTCATGTTCTTTCCCTACCAGTCCAAGAAGCCTTTACTTTTTGCTGTTGATAGGACACTGCGAATGATGACCATGACAAGCCACTGGGACCGCAGCAGTTTGCTGTGTATGTTGGCCAACACACCGATCTCGCACTGGATTACGGTCGGTCCTTGAGCGCCTTTGAGCCTGCACCTATGCTCAGGCTAGTTGTCGGTCATGGTCGGTCCTTCTCTCAGGTATTCTATCATCATTGCAATTGCTGACAAAGTGCCTCACTGCAAGTGTGGATATGCTGTTCTGGACCTTTTGCCTGTTGACCTTCATGCAGTGCGTGGCCGGGATCGCTCTCAGCACATTGTGTCGTCCCTTCATTATAGATGAGAACCAACCGCAAGATGTCCGGGAGAGTATCTTTAAATACTACGGCACCTTGGCTTGTCAGGCTTCTTGTTGTGCGTGCCCGCCTGCTGCAACAAGACTCCTCAAGGACACTCCGATTGTTCTACCCTTGCCACCCAATAATAACTGTTTCTCAATACAGAGGACTCTATGACATTGGAATTACTTGGTACAGCGAGATCTCTCCATGTCCACCAATTTGCAGGACTCTACCAGAGGTACGAGGTTAAGCATGATTAAGCAGCAAAATCTACAGAAGTGCAACGTTGATGTCATCATTTGTTTTACCACAAACAACACCTGTGTAGCCACGAACTCCTATTGCAAGAATTCTTACTCGACGGCCAGACCACTCTGAGGCACCTTTACCCGAAGCATCCTGACGATGTTCGAAGTGCCACTCGAAATCCAGACTTGATTGAATCCAAGCGGCCTGAATTCACCGCGCAATGGTACAAGGATGCTACTAGGGGCTCCTGGCATCGCTACTAGGAGCGATCGAACGCTACTAGGGGCAGTTCCCTAGGAACCGTTCACAGCGAGGGTTCTACTGCGTCCTTGCCACCACTAGTTGCTTTCTGACTGATATATTATTTTTAACTGTATACTCAAAACAAAAGCATGAGAAAGGTCGGAAAGGCATATAAGTTCCATACAAGGCTCATTGGGCCACTCACAATGAGGTTATTTGCCAACTGGGGTCCTCCGTGCCGTGCATTGACCGACAATGTGAGCGAGTGGCACCTCGACTGTCAGTAGTTTAGGGAGAGCAGAAACAGCAAGCAGCTTAATGCATTATCGCTTCGGACCTTCTGGCAGGTTCTCTTTATTTTTCCTCTTCTACCGGTGCGTCATCGCCTTAAATCTCACAAGGTGTTGAAAGGCACACAGTTTACGGTATTGATTTGCGATGCTTTGTGCAGAAGAGAGTTTGCCCAAAGGGATTGGAATCCATGAAAGCATTTTGTCATGTGTTTGCTGCCCGTCCTGAGAACGGATTGTTTGGAGTGCGATGTGCTGCTTGTACAAGCCTGAAGAAGCCTGATTCACCAGAGTTGGTTAGACCAACCAGAATACAGTAATGATTAAGACTGTACTGAAATGGTTGCAGGAATTGGCTGGTTTGCCCGCAAACCCTGCCAAAGGTCTCAAACCTATCAGAGAAGTGTCATGAATTGCAACAGGGCCCCTAGCTGTGAAAGATCTCACTAAGCAAGATCAAAATGTTCAAGAGGCAAAAGAACAGTCAAAACAGCACAATGGGCTGCGGCTGCATAATCCTTGGTGCCAGAGTATATAAATGTGGCAGCAACTCACGGAGCAGATGTTCAATAAGTATCAACAAGTAGCCTGTTTACACTGATTCCGCAGTATTCCTTGTAGGCCGCGTCATGGAAGACGAGCTGAGCAAACCAACCCCAAAGATATTCAATTGGTTGGACTTGCGTGTTCACTCCATTTCAGCTACAGGTATGCATCGGGGAAGTTCTTTCGATGCATATTACAGACATTATTCTAGCAAACTATGGTAGGTTGGCGTCCCTCATAATTCGGCCACTTTGTTTTCCTAAACATGTGTGTCTGTGTGTGTGTGTCTCCTCTGGAGTCACGAGGTTTGTGTTGGAATGTTTTCCTTAATTTACAGCAGGGGGTGCCAGGGACCGTGCAAGTCTGGCACTAACAAAGACGCTTGCACTGGTCTGTGAAATCAATCCGGGACGCCGGATTGACGTACCTGCTTGGAGAGAAACCTACGTAGAGAACAAGCTGTCTACTTCGTTGTTTCCATCAGTACAGGGCTAGTGCAGCGGTGACTCACCTTGGATCTTTGGGCCTTTTGAGCTCCGCAGACCTGTACGACCCGTCGTCACCCTGTCGCCGCCGCTCGCTTTCATGTTTATAGGATTTGGAGGCCTCAGACTTTACCTTTCTACCTGGAACCTTAGGCGGTTTACTTAGGCTGGCGTGTGCCACCGCATTCACATCAGTACGCATTTCTAAAAGTGTGTCTGGCTTCATGCCAGGGTGACCCCGCAGAGTGGCACCGTGGACCCGTCGAACGGGTGTTAGTCGCAAGTATCCCTTCCCGGATACAAAGCAGTCCGCAGCGGACAAAGTAAGCTTCGGCCAAAGTGATTTGCCAAGACTTGCTGAACTATTGAACGCCAAGCTGGCTCATGCCTTTACGTGACCGCAGCGCTCTAAGCTGCCAGCCATTTTGGCACGGCGTACGTGGCCGCAGCGGCCGAAGCTTGTTCAAGACTCGTTGGAGCTTGCCGCAAACTTAGGTGCACACACAGCGTATACAATGTTGTTTGGCTTCGTTGGTTTTTGTCCCAATCATTTGGTTTCCCCTCTCATCCTTTTCCCCTTCACACACTTCTGTTCTCCTCCTTTCTTTCATGTCCTCCTGTCTTCATGTCTTTCATCTCATCCTTTCTTTCGTTTGCGCGCACATTGGTCCCGGCCTTAGCGTGTACGTGCACCACTACATGCACTTTAAGCCCAAGTTTTAGGTGGCCCAGGTCTTTACAATAAGGTGGGGTGCATTGTTTGTCCCTGTGCACGTGGTTCCTCTTTCATCACAACCACCTACACTTTTGTCCCGTCCCGTCCCCTTGTCATGTCTTGATTCTTTTGTCTTTCGCGCCCGCACATGCACATACGTCCTGACCTTAGTATTTTTCGCCCCCCCCCTCGGGGGGGCGTGTGTGTGTCCCCTCTGGAGTCACGAGGTTCCTGTTGGAAGGTTTTCCATATTTTACAGCAGGGGGGGCCAGGGACGATGCAAGTCTGGCACTAACAAAGACGCTTGCACTGGTCTGTGAAATCAAACCGGGACGCCGGATTGACGTACCTGCTTGGAGAGAAACCTACGTAGAGCACAAGCTGTCTACTTCGTTGTTTGGTGACTCACCTTGGATCTTTGGGCCTTTTGAGCTCCGCAGACCTGTACGACCCGTCGTCACTCGCTTTCATGTTTATCGGTTTTGGAGGCCTCAGACTTTACCTTGCTACCTGGAACCTTAGGCGGCTTACTTTAGGCTGGCGTGTGGCACCGCATTCACATCAGTAATAAGTCAGTGTGTGTGCTGTGTTGCCTTGTTGGTTGGGTACGGTTGAGTACGTACATGTCCTTCACTTTAGATTTACTGATCTACATTATGAATCAACATGTTCTGTGTCAATCTCTCCGTCTAGTAGATGTCTACCAAAGCATTACAAAAGCACCCCTAACACTAGTTGGTAGGGTGAATAGACCGAAGGGTTCGGAGGTGGCCTGTTCAGACAGTGTGCGAGCGTTGGCGGGGGATCAACTAGGGAGGCGACCCTTTCCCATAGCCTACTGTAATTAGTTTGGAGGCAACCCGCTTTGGCTTGTTTGTGTGTGTAAGAACCGACCTGCCTCAGGTTATTGGGTTTGCTGTTCTGAACGCCTGGTCCTCAATGATGCATTCTGGGAAGGATGGTGAAAGGCATTCAAAGCGTTGCAAAAGTATTGTGAAGGTGTCATTTCTCGCTGGAAAAGACTGGAATTGAATGAATTTGTTTCTGATTATGCAGTACCCCACAGAGACAATTTTTCTTCTCCTCCCCCACCTCTTGCGTTTCATACCCCTTTGTGTCGCATCAAGTGTTCCTGCTCGCGTCAGACCTGGTGGTATACCGAGCGAGCAATGGACGTGTGTAGCATCGAACCTGTGCCAGAAGAGGATAATGTTCACATCGCAATAAAAGCGTCCTGGCTCCTAGTAGCGATGCCCTTGTTACTACTAGCTAGAACCTCTCCCCAGTGAGAAAAGTGCGGCCAAAAATGCGTTCGTCGTAATAATAGACGCATTACCCGCAACAATAGACCTCAGACTCAGACCTTAGGACTATGACAGTTTTTTGTTGTTGCGCCCAATTGATCGAAATGTTATAACGTAATTCACAAACTAATCAATAATCAGTTCAATCTGGAAAGAGGATAAAGTTCGGTTCATTATTGCAGTACTTCAGAAGGAAGCTTATTATTGTACAGCAGAAAGTCCGGTGTATTATTGCCACCTAAGAGACAGTTGAACGTGAAAAGGAATTCTTTTATTGATGGTAGTATATTTTTGTATGTCATTGGCACTCGTAAGGGGTACCCTTTGCCGCCAAAATCATGTTTCGTTTTTTAAAGGACGTAAGAATAACGAGCTTGAGCGTTTTAGATTGGCTAGAAGATTTAAGGCTGACTGTTGTTTATCGTTGATTTATATAAAACAAAATATCTCGATTTAAATCAAGATTGGAAAATGCTGTGAATTAACTAAATATTGTTTGAAGGCTTGCTGGAAAGATGTGTTTTTCTTGTACGGGTGAAAGCCCGGCTTGTTAATGCAATAGCTTAGGAGGAAGTAAGCTAAGTTGATTCTTGCAAGGTTTTGATAAAAGCTAGTTGTTTATTGGCATGTGTTTATATATAATTGTGTGTTTAACGTCTTCGTAAAGGGTACTTTTCGCGAAGCTTGTTGTTTTTTGACAAGGGGTTCTGTTAAGATTATATAACTTGATTGTTTTTCAGCTATATAATATATAGCAATGTAGTTGGTTAGTGTTAGATTCATCTCTCTTAATTCATTTCATTAACGTATATGTTCAGATGCTTAGACGAGGTTTATTGTTGTAGAGGAGCAAGTCAAGCTTATCATTGATGCCTACTAATTACGCCACATACACTCAACTGCAGGGTTATTCTTGTAGAGCAGAAAGTCAAGTTTATTATTGCAACCTAATAGAAAAGCTGGCCTGTTTTTGTAGGGGAGTCAGTCAAGTCTACAATTCTGGTGACAGTCTTGAGATTCTACTTGCGCTAGTTAAATAGTCTATAACTGATTATAATTGTGTGTTGTTTTGACAATAGTGGTCTTGACACTAGTTCAGTCTGCATGGTTTCGGTAGCCCGGAGACTCTTAGGTTTTACAATTGACTCGTGGTTTGCTATCGATGTGAACATATAAATAGTCAGCGATTGTTCACAAAAGGTTGCGTCAGCTACCTGAATTCCATTAGCCAGGGGGAAATCTTCCCAAAAGCCTGATTTGGGGGTTCACGAGCTGGCGATTTTTCATTTCAACTCTCTACTCACTCACTTTCGCCCACGTCCTCCTGCAGTTTTGCTGGTTTGCTGTTGCTGGTGATGTGCTGCTGCCGCTGCTGCTCACCTTGGCCTGACCAGACTACAAGCGGAACGACTCTGGATCAAATCCTGTGACACAGTGATTTTTACCTAGGGCCGCAGCAATAATCTTGAGTGTTCGCCTATCATTGTTGGTGCCTCACCCCGCTGCATTCGACCCATCGCTCTTATGGCGCTAGGTGTCATTCACCCCCCTCAACAGCCACAAGCCCCCAACGGAGACTTAGATAAAAAATAACAAGTAAAGAGTAGAAAGCTTGAGCGCAGGCAGGCCACGCCCAGCACTCAGCAATGTCAGAGCCCAGGTCGTTGGTGCAGTTTTCGTCCAGCAGACAATGAAGATGGCAAACTCGGACGAAGAGTTGGCATTTCGCCAGAAGGAGAGAGAGACACTTGGAATTTGTTAGTGACATGTCAGTTGGGTGTACGTGTACACCTTGGATTCAGAGTAGTCTTTGACTTTGACTTTCCCTGTTCGCATGTTAGCAGGGGGTACCGGCAGATCATGAGGGCTTAGGGTTTAGGGTTTAGGGTTGACCGCTGCCAACGAAGACATCCAAGTGATCTGGTGATGTCAGAGTTGGCCACTCTGCCGTACCTGCTACACGCTCATGGTGATGACGGTTAACAGTGTTGCACGCCTACATCGGCTCTGCACAGGCTGTTTCGGGCAAGGTAGGTCTGCAGTCACGCATCCTCCGCCCTTTGTGATTTTGGATTTGTGGAGCTTCACAACTCTTGAACATGAAGCTTTTGATCTTGAAAGTGAAGATCGTTGGTAACAGGGCTGGGCGCAATCAAATCGTACGTACTTTATCTTGGGTGTGTCTCGCGTTTGAGAGCGCGAATAAGCCCGAAGAGCGCCTGGTAGCGGGCAGCGGAGCCGACTGGAGCACGACCGTCTTCTGAAGCTGAACTTGGGTTGCTTGATGCTCTACAGCGACTCTGTCTTCAAGGGCAGCAGTCTCTTCACGGCCTCTTGGATAGATGGAGAAATCTGGCTGATGCTGTTTGGCTTCAAAAGGAAAACGGAAAAGCGTAAAAAGATTACCTGGATGGCGCGCAAGCACCGCGCAAAGTTGGGCGGTCTTTCAAGAAACAGCCAGATCCAGACCTAGAGTCCATCCAAGGACCAATCAGGATTTGTTTTCGGGCATGGACCAAAGACGCAGGCATCAAGCACTGCAAACAACATGCCTGCGAAGTGTCAGGCCAGGCAGATGTGCTGCCTTGCGGCGCTGGACGCGTTGTCAAGGGGAACAAACGGACATGGAGCGCAATGAAAAAAGTTGGAGTGCAACACCAGCGGGGCAATACGTCCGAGCCTTCTCCCTGCCCAACCAGAATTGGGCTGTTGCGACATCATGACATGGCTCCGCCGACCCGACCCTCACGCGCACGTTTCATATACAGCCTCTTCAAGCTGCTTCGCGCCAAACCGTTGTTTTGCGACCACTGTAAGAGTGGGGCCTTCAAGCCTGCGGAACCTGGATAGAGCACGTGGCTGACGACCACGCTGAAGCGACAGCAAGCTGAAGTCATTGTTCCAGCAACAGAAGAAAAGCACCAAGCAAGTGGAACCTACAAATTAGAAAGGTTTGCGCGCCTTTCAAGAGTTGCTTCCAGGTCAAGTTGTTGCGGACGGGGCTCTTTGACTGAAAGGATTGAAACCTTCATGCTGGCCCCAAGATGGGCACCGGGTCCGGTGTGATTGCAGGATAATCGCAGGCATCTTCGCCCGTTTAAACAGCCTAGAAGTTCGCACGTTTTCAGTTTTCTTTGTCTAGCATGTTTGTGGGGTCTTTGAAAGGAGCCGGTTATTTTTCTGACAAGAGTCCCACGCAAGTATTGATGAACAGATGGCAACAAGTCTTGTGTAGACATGACTTCTATCTTCAACAAGAATCAAGCAAGGAATTACGTAGCTTGACCAGAGTGGCGCTAGATATCATACCCAGGAGCGCCCTTGATATAAAGAACGCCCCGCACTGACTGGTCTCGGTTTATATAACCCTGCGCGCGCGTCTTGAAAAGATCTTCAGAGGTTTTGCCTGCTACGATTGGTCTCAGGATTTTGCCTCCAGCTCCGCGCTAGCACTGCGCTAGCCGGAATTTCCCCGTAAAGGCGGTCCCACTTTAAACTCGTGGAGGGTCATTTAACTTTTCTTTCGAATAAGCCTGGAGCAACCAATGTGTAGAATACTGTAGCTAGAAATCAACCAAATCTTGGCCAAAAGCAAAGACGCCAAAGGCGACAATCTTTACGTGCCCGAAACTTGCGCAAGCAAGACATCATAAGCTGCTCCAATGACACGGACAGTAGCTAATAGCCACAAGGTTTTTGCCGATAGCCGATAGCTTGTTTTTCTGAGAGCCGATTTAAAACAAAAACAAAATCCAAATCTGGAGCTGTATGGTTTTATCTGTAAACATAAAGCGGAGTGCATGGAATTGTGATTTAGCACTGGGCGGAAACAGTTTGACAAGCCACTACTGTTGAATGCCGTGGTTTGTGTGCCATGGTGCGTCCAAGGACAGCAAACTATGCCAGGAAGGTCCGAAAACTATTCTCGCACATGGATGACAGTGGCGACGGGGCCCTGAGCCACGACGAGCATCTTGGCAATGAGTTGTTCACAGGCATTGTGGCTCCGTCTTGGTGAATGTGTGGCACAAGTGCCCGCGCGCGGTGAAAACTGAATCTAAAATCCCTGCCTGAGGTTTGCAAAACTGGTGTCGTCTCCAAAACTGAAGTTTTGGATGAGCCAGACACTCGCCAAGTTGGACATTGCCTTGATCTGCAACGGTTGCGATACTTTTGTTGTTACCAGTAAGTTTCAATGCTTCGTTTGCTGACAGATGGTTTTTGATGGTTTTTGCGCGCAAGCTGAGGTTGGAGCTTGAGTACCATGACTTGCTGAGCCTTTTTGAGTTCTTGGACAACGGAGATGGGCAAATAACTTTGACCGAGTTCATCGAAGGATCCACGCGACTTCGTGGCAGCGCTAAAGCATTGGATGTTTGGCGACTGGAAACCAAGGCGCCACTGTTGTGGCCATGGTTAACCTTTCCAACATGGCTGAAGAAGCAGTCTTGTTGATAGTATTGACAGTGGGGAATTGGAGTTTGGGTGGAGTTGCGTTGGCCAGAGTGTGTGATTTTCTCGAGCGGTTGTCTGAGGCACGAGGTCTCCGAGTCGTGTGGTTGCCGTTTAGTTTTGATGCTTGCTGCTTGATGGTAATACTATGCAATACGGTGATACCTGGTATACAGGAGGCATTGCGCAGGTGCAGTGTGCACTTTGCGTGGATACGTCATCAAGAATGCGGAACCTTCAGCTAGAAATATCGAAAGTTCCACGCAGCCATGTGGATGCGACGCAATACACATCAATACACCAGTGTTGCCCCTGCATCTATGCACTTGATGATGCTGACCCTTGACAATCATATCAATCACGTGCATCTGTGCAACTTCATCTGATGATGATGATGATGATGATATTAAATGACAATGATTTAGACATAGAACTAAAAAAATGTTGCTGATGATGATGATGATGATGATGATGACAATGATGAGGATGGTGTCGGTGATGCTCATTACGATGATAGCTATTCATTTCAACTTGGTAGTTGTTCTTGAAGGAGAACCCTTCGCCGGTGTTTTCGGGAAAAACACAAAAAGGAAAATTGAACAAAAAAGAAGAAAGAAATGTGGACTCAGGAGCATTTGCCGATTGATACGGCAATTTACATTGCAATCCAATCAATGGGTACGACAGAATGTTTCATGGGAACTTTGTGTAAAAAACACAAATAGCCGGCATCGGCGCAAGTCGAAAAATAGCATTGCTAAAGCAGAATGATTGGCTGCCAGCAGCACGGTGAAGGCCCAGGCTCACCACGCACTCTAAACCAATGTGGTGAATACACTGGCGTGAAGCAAAGGGAAGGGGCATTTTGGCGTTGCTTGGTGGGTGTGTAAAATGCGAGCAGTTCCCTGCGTTTATTAGAAGAGAGACAGAGACAGAGAGAGAGAGAGAGTGGAAAGGAACATAAGTATTGGATTTTACTGGGACGGTGGACCGGGTTACTAGGTCACAGGGGCGCTTGTTCGATTGACTTTCCTTTGCGGTTGCTGCTAGAACCTGACACACAAATTAGTATTGAAAGGTAGCTCCAAATGCTCCAGAACCGCCCACGCCTCCCCAGGCCAGGCAAGTATGTTGTCAAAATACGCAGCTGGTCCTTGAGGACTGAACCACCCCAGACAGACAGAGAGAGAGAAAGAGAAAGAGAAAGAGAGAGAGAGAGAGAGACAGAGAGACAGAGAGAGAGAGAGACAGAGAGAGAGAGAGAGAGACGAGAGAGAGAGAGAGAGACAGAGAGACAGAGAGACAGAGAGAGAGAGAGAGACAGAGAGAGAGAGAGAGAGAGACAGAGAGACAGAGAGAGACAGAGAGAGAGAGAGACAGAGAGAGAGAGAGAGGTGGCCCGTGAGGAGTTTCTAAAGATGGAAGCGGATTGGTTTCATGGTCACAGGAACGGAGATCGAAGCCTGATGACCGAAATGAAAGATATGATGCAGGGGTCAGTACATCATGTACACAATTTTTACCCTTAGCAAGTTTCAATGTTGAATCCAGAGCTAAAAGCTCACAGCTTCAAAGGAGGAGTACGAAAGTCCAGCACATGTACTCACTCCATGAGACATAGACATAGCATGTTGCAGTTCATCAAACGATGATACGCACAAATCAAGAAGTGTTCACATGAGACCGCTCTTGCTCCAGTGAAAGACGCTTCGCATATTGGGATGGTGCTACTTTACAGGGACACTTGCTCAACTGTTTTTTCACCATGGCTGCTACACCCTCACAAAGGGTTTAAGCTGAGAGAGTTGTTCCATTGTTTTGTTTCTGTTGATTTGTTGACAGCTGCTGGGACTTCAAGGTATCCAGAGGTAGATTGTGTCGTCTTCGAGATATTTCAGCTCGATCTGGGATGTTTGGAGACCTTTATCCAGCAACCTTAGCCATCTTTGCCCAGAGCAGGCAACTGGAACCCAGTCCACGCAGTCAAAGAAATATCTGTATAGTCTTTGAGGGCTCGACCACTCCCTGGTTAATATGGGGATGGTGGGGTAACCACAAAAAGCTGTTCGACCTAGTCAACAGCTACTAAGTAAGCATGCATAAGCAGGCACATTGTAAGGGTTGAGCAGATGTGGCAGATGGGCCAATCCTTGGAAGCTTCTGACAGCGGAGAAGAAAGAGTAGGAGCTTAGATTAGTTTAGACCCGAGAAATGTGGGAGATCTTGGGGATGCAGCCTGAACAGTAGCATTTTGATGCAATTTGCATAAACTTGGCATGTTTAGGGGAGTTGACCGTTGAAAGACTGCAGAACTAGAAAAGGGATGAGATAACAAAAACCTGTTTGCTTACAATAAATTTGCTGAAGCTTTGCTGAGAACAATTTATGGAGGAATAGTTCAGATTTTGAGTCGCATGTTGCTCCACTCATGTAAGTTCTCGACCATTGCGGGACCAGGTTCCAGAAGTATGACATCTTGGACAGACCAAGAGTGGGTGACCAACCAGGGACCGTCACAAGCACACTGGTTTCAGAAAACACATCCGTTGCAAACTAGTTTTGCTGGGACCCTCACGGACTGGAACATGCTGTTTCATCAATAAGGATCTCGTTGCACATGTAGTCGAAAAATATCAAAACATCCTGGAGGTGGAGTTGCTCTCAGAGGAGATCTTGAAGGTTTTGCACGCAAAAGAGACTGACGCTGACGTATCCTCTTACGTCCGAGCTGCCTTCAAGAATTCTTCGTTCAAGCACATGATCACGGCCAACAAATGAACAAATCCAGCTGTGGCACTTGTATAGACTTAATCCTGGACTGTTTGCGGACGGCGGACGCACAATGGCCTGTGTGCTTCGTTTACACCACTTGGCTAAACAAAAGAGTCATGACAAGAAAGTGCTGTGACAATTTCTCCACATGATGCAACTGCAACTGTACGTCCAGAGAGTGCCAGTGCATGGTTGGCGTCGTGTGCTAGCTTTGCCTTGGCCCCGTTTCTCCCTGTCAGCAAGGCTTGGCTAAGTCAAGTGGGGAGGCTGCTTGTTTGGTTCTGGGAGAAGCATGTGTAAGCAAACCTATATAAAGACCAGACCCTTTCAAGAAAAAGTCAAAGCTCCAACTTGGCCGTTTGTGCCAACGCTGTTTGGGGAGCGATGTGTGTGGTGGGGCCGTATTTTGTGGAAATGTATGATCGCAGGGCACATCCGAGCAACAAGCATATATTCTACATTCTACATTAATCAATTGTTGATGGTGAGCTACAACATTGATTCATGTTCGCTGGTTTGAGTTACTCTCCTTAGGCTAAGATGTGGGTAGCAACGAAAGGGCGCATGCACCCTAAGTTTGCCAAAAGGCATATGGATGGCGGCGCCATGTCCCTGCACAATCTTGATCGTTTTGTTCGAACTGCATTTTAAAGTCTTGGCTCCTCGTTAGATGGCTGATGGTTGTTTACCGGGCCAGATCTTTTGCATCTTTTGCCTGGAGCATATTGCCTAGAGCATATGTGTTCTTCCATGGGCTCATTGGTACCGGGAAGATTTGAAAAATGGCTGATGCTGCGCAGCTCACAAGGTTTGCGGGTTTAGCTCTTGCCTCTACAGACGGCTCTATAACTCATGCATACCATATAATTGTCTTGAGATTTGCGATGTTTTGGTTTCGGCATGCAAACTCTATGTCCACACTAGACTTCCTGGTAGCCAGGACTAGCTTGCAGTGCTTGTTTATTTGTGTTCAAGGCACCGAGCCTTGGCCAAAGGCACAACGACAGCCAGGCCAATGTTCATGGAGTCAGCATGAGTCAGCTAGCTTGGGTCAGCTTTGCTCTAGTAGACCAACCGCATCCAAACGCTGCATGTGTTTCGTATGGAAGGGTGAGTCGGGGATGGAACCCTATGGTTTTGCATGCTTTCACCATTCCTGGGAAATTGGACGCTTTGCAGTCCTTGGCATCTTCCGTCACCCGACGACGCTGGGCCGACATGGATGATGAGGCCATTATGATGAGCAGAGGGCCCACATAATTAGGTGAACGAGCAACCTTTGTTCCGGCAAATGCAAGGGTGTAGCAAAATTTCTTGCGCAGGCAGCAAGCATGATTGTGCTGATTATATATACTGATTCTGTCAGGACCAACTATCTTCAAATGAAGAGCATGTCAACACCGACGACTCCGGTCTAAGTTTCACCCCTGACAGGATGCAGGACTGATGGGCAAGCGTGTTGTGGCCTTTTGGATGGACCACCACAAAAAAAGAGAGTAACAAAGGATCTCTTTGACAAGGCTCTCTTTAAATGGGCCTATATAATCTTTATTGTTCTCGCCGACTCCAGATTGTCGGAAGTATGCAGGCGTTCTGCGCTCCAAGTCAAGGGCCATTTTCAGCCAACTACATGAAGATTCTGTCACAAGGGATATCAAGGGATATCCAACTTGGATGGACACTCTTTTCGCGCCATCCAAAAAGAAATAACATCCGACAGGGCTGAGGACGTCATCGGTCATGTACATTTCGGCACCAAAGATGGCACCTTTTGGAAAGGCTTTTTCAGGGCACTTTTTGCAAAACTCCAGAAAAGCTGGTGCCACAGCAGCATGTCGAATCTTACAACTTGCAAGGCCGTATCGAAAAATCTTGGCGGGGCCACCACATGTTCATCCAGCTCAAAAAGAAAAGCATAGAAAAGCCATACATGCAAGCTGCATCGCTACTAGTAACAAGTGCCTTACTAGTAGAAACAAGTGCCTTACTAGTAGTAACAAGAAGCTACTAGTAACAAATCGAGGGTCAAAACCAGGAGACCCTTGGTTGACCTACCTGGAATTTCAAGCTGCATGGTGGACCAGCACTCCAGGTATTGACCCATCCCCATTTCAACTGATTGCAAAAGGAGAAAAATAAACGAAAGTTGAAAGAGACATATCAAGCTTCATCTTTATCGGAATATCGGAATCTCAATCGAACCCCGCCCATTGAAATAAACTTGGGTCCACGCCCCAGGCCAGGACCAGGAAGGACACATCTCTTTCGGTGTGACAGGTTCAGCTGAAGGGTCATGTTCTTTCGGAGGTTTCGGAATTGCACAACCATTGGTTGTACACACCCTGCACAGTGGTTAGATGTTACTGCATGGTTTCAGCCTTTTCCCAAAGTTGGCAATCAAATCAGCGATTCAATCAAGGCAACTGTCGTGCACAGAGCTGCCATCCGACGGAATATGTTCCAATGAGTGTGCTGGGTTGCAAAAAAGATGCCCACCGGTCACAATGGGTACTTAGGGTCCACTTTACAGGGGTCATAATGGGCCTTATTAAAGAGGCCCAAACACCTAATTAAAGATGCCCAAACACCATGTTCTCCCTCTACCACCTTCAAGTTTGACAAAATAAGTCAAAATAAAATGACGATTAATGATGATACCGATACAGTTACAAGCACTACGAACACTACCCTTTGGGACAATTTGGGGAAAGAGAGGATGCACAGCCTGCAGCAAACTCGCCAGGATGCTTTTGAGAGCGACCTCGACCAGTCGGGAAGCGATTGGGATGAACCACAGGCATAGAGAGCTGTTTGCGAATCCCACCAATATTTGCAGGGGTTTTATTCATAATGCTTCTTGCACACAAGGCTGATTCATAGTTCACGATGATTGTTCCAACAAGCAAGTTGCTGGTTGTTGTTCCCAGCTCACTTTAGGGGGGTCCTTCTTGACCAGCGAGTCCATTGCAGGGGTCAGCAGAGAACCAAGCAGCGCTGGTTGAAACAGGTGCGCCAGATTGCACCAGATGATTTTCGGCAATTATATAAGGGGTCACCTCAAAATTGTAACATTGTTGGAAAGCATGGAAAAGCTACAATGTGGCAACGGAGCATCAATAGAGCGTTAGTGTTGTTTCAAACCATTCCTGCAAGAGTCTAAGGAATGCAAATGGAACTCTCAAGCCAAGTACACTCAGTCTCGTGTTAGTCTGTACACTGTGATAGAGTCAAATTTGTTGTTCGGAGGTGAGATCTACGGCTGATGACTCTGTTAAGAAAGACGCTTTTTTAGAGTAGACTCTAGATTATTTCTTAACTATAACCTTTTAATTAAGAAATGTGGCTGGCAGGTAGACTCTAAATAAGGTTTCTTATTCTATTTTCTCTCCCTCGAGCTCTAAATCGCTCAACCGCATCGCTATGCGCATGGTCTTCGACTTCTTCGACCCGTATCCCCGGATGTTGTATAATGTTCTATCATGGTATAATGCTCAAGAATCTGAGATGAGGGGAGGGAGGGAGGGAGGCTCAAAGTTGAAGGCTGCGATGGGACTTCTAAAGGGTTTTAGACCAGTTTCAGACCACCCGAGAGGACAGGTTGGGGACAGTTTTTTGTGAAGCAGACTTAAACAAAGTGAAGCTTTTGCTCTACGTACGTATCATGGAAAGGGGTCATAGATGATGTCAAGTTTGTCATTTTACACCTGCACCCTGGAAATCCAAGGGTCGTTGTCTAAAAGCGGATGTTTGAGCGCGAGATTAAACAATGCGGCCCTTGTGCCGCGTCATTCCATGTGGGGTCTGTCTGTGAGATACGTACGGGGTCTACAGGATAATGAAGGCTCGCTTTTAATTCGGTCCATTATGGTCGTAATTCGGTGCGTCCAATAGTACCTAATTGCGGCCGAATTAAAAGCTCCTCTTCATGCATCCACTCCATGTTCTCCAATAACTTCCGATGACCATCAGTGACCATATCACTTTTGCAGCTCCACATGCGTTTTGTGCTGACGGTTCGGAACTTCAGGTTTTTGAACCAAAAATGTAAGTTTTGAACCTTTTTGGAAGCAAAGTGG